GGGGGGGACGGGGATAACTGACTCAGCATATTCTCCCATCCTCGGCTATTCGAGGGGGACCGACAGGTGGGTGCCCGGGTAGGCAGCCTGTCTGGAATCCCGCTCCTAGCGGACAGTCGGGCTGAAGCCTGAAGGCCCCGCACTGAACCCAGACGTGGGGTGTCCCAGCCGCCGGAGGGAGCGGGGCTCGGCCCGGAGGGCCGCACCGCCGCGCTCGAGGCGACACCTGGCGGGCCCGGCGGGTGGCGCAGCTCGGCCTCGCTCGCAGCCGGCGTCCTGGCTAGGGGCCGATGGGATGGATCCCACGCTGTCAGCTGAGCGGGTCGGTGCTGGTGGACTCAAGGTTCAGCTGAAGAAACTGCGGTTTAGGGGTGTGAAAGTGTCTTCCCAGAGTCACCAGCTAGTGAGTGGCAGCGCGGGATTGGACACAGGCCTGACTCTATTACCGCTCCTCACTCTCCCCACCCCCACTTTTCCCGTATCAGGCCAGCCCCATCCTTCAGAATTATTTTCCTAAATCGCAGTCCTGAAACACCTTGTCTGTGCATTCACTCACATTTTAAGGTCTGCGCCGGGCACCACGGTGGGCATCGTGGTCCAGGAAGGACCAGGAAGGACAAGGCTCCCGCTGTTGGAGCTAGGGAGGGAGGCAGACCAGATCTGCACAGACAGGGTTGCAGCCACCGTCACAGCGACAGCTGCAAATAATAAAAGAGTGATGAGACAGACTCATCACTGTCGGAGGAGGCAGCATCTGGCCGAGGCCTGGGGCTCGTGGGATGCTGGGCCCAGGATTTTAGGCGGGAGAACAGGTGTGCAAAGGCTTGGAGGTGAACTTGAGCCCCAAGAGGGGATGTGGATTGTGCACTCAAGAAAGAAAGAAGTGAGGTGGAGGGGAGGAGACCCCCCAGGCTGTGTGGGCACGAGGCGCAGAAGGGGTTCAGAGGAGGATGTTGAGAGGATGTGTAGAACGGTATTCATCTGATTTGTTCATGCAGAAGCTCCTTTCGGCCGCCCAGGGAGAACCCACGGGGTGTAGCTGGGGCTGGCAAAGGGGAGCCAGGCCAAACAGAGAGAAGACTACCTCCAGATGGCGGGTTGAAACACGGCCACAAAAATCGTGCCTTCTGGGAGAAGGGAGGTCCCTGGACACCTCCTCCCCCGCCACCGGCACTGTGGCAGCCCTGTGAAGCTTCAGCCAAAGCGGTGTGGCAGCAGATGCTGTGAGACTGGCAAGGCTGTCCTGAGAGGCAGCACAGCTCTGCCTTGTTGGCCAGAGCACGACTGCTGAGTCATCAAGGAAGGAGTCGGGGGCTGCCATGTTGTGAGGAAGCCCTACCTTACCGACAGGCCACGCGCGGGTCTTCCGGTCCACAGCCCCAGTTGAAGTCAGCGTTGATGCCAGACATGTGGGCAAAGGAGACTCCAGCCTGCATGTCTTCCCAGCCCATCTGGGTTCCTGTAAATGTAATGAAATGGTTGCTTTGTGCTACTACATTTGGGGTCACTCATTGCGTAGATAGCCAGGGTGGAAGTAGGGCACAGGGAAGAACACTGAGGGTACAGGTGGTGCTGATGGGACTGGGAAGGACCCAGTGGACAGAGGGAGTAGAGAGAGGGAATCACCAGTGACCCATATGCAGGACAAGTCCTTGCATGGGTGGAGGTGCCAGTGAGTGACAGGGTAGAGCAGCAAGGCTTAGTGGGAAGCCAGGCCTGTCTTGGCCATGCTCCTCCCTGGCTCTCACTCTACCAGCCCAGCCTGAACATTCTACCTCAAGGCACCACTGAGGAGTGTCCTTCCTTTTCTATATCCATTGTCATTCTCTATGCCACATATTCACTCATGTCACAGGTGTTAAGGGACACTCATTGCCAGGACATTGGGGCAGGTTCTGGGCACGGAGCACTGGATCAAGCAAAACCAATCTCTGCCCCCCTGGAACAACTTGTCCAAGGACTGGCTTAATTATCAGGTACACAGGCAGCACTTACTACGTGTCAGGCACTGTGGTTAAGAACTCCAGCACATCAACTGACCCTCTCGCGATACCGTGCGGGAGAAGCTGTTGTTACTGTCCTCGTCACCCATGAGCATCTTACTCTGGGAAGGGCTCTGTGGCCTCCGAGCTGGCACAGCCCTTCCACCCTTCCCACAGGGCCACCACTGCCACCCCCACATCGGGTTGTGAGCTCCTTGCAGGCAGCAACAAGGAGCATCTCTGACCCAAGCACTCAGCATGGGGCTTGCCTGAGAAGTGTGCCTTGATACAAGGGTTACAGACTTAATAGCTGCACGACCCAATATAAGTTGTTTTATTTTAAAACTTGCTGGTTAGTAATTTCCAGGTCATTTAATTTCTTGCTCGACTAGCAGCTTCCCCAATGGGGAACGGTATCTGTTGCATTCCAAGATCCAGAACCAGGCATGAATAACTCAGTGAGGTTGCAGAGTTCTTCTTTGGCAGCACCATGCTAATGGAAGGGTTTTCTCCCCATCCGGTGCTTCGTAGGTCAAGGGACGAGAAAGGAGTCCCATCAGTGCCTGCTGTTCCACTTTTAGTGAGCTAAGCCCGCCCCTGGCAGGGGCACGTTGTGCCAGGGGCTTTGGTGCCCCCTGCTGGAAACATCAGGAGAGGCTGCTTGGCTGCCAGGGAAGCAGCAATACTGCTTAGGAAGAATAAGCAGCGAGCTCTGCTGCTCACCCCATGCTGAAAGAAACGAGGGTCTAGAAGGGCTCAAGCTCCGGCCCCACCTTGTCTTGTCCCCGTAACTTTGGGAAGTCGCTTGAGCCTCCCCTTGCCTTAGTTCCCTAGTCGTAAATGAGGGACAAGTGTCTGCCTCCCGGGTTGAGAAGCTACATGTGACATCCCAAACCAGAACATCGTGCATCAATAATAGTGAATTAAAAGTGGGGGGCATAGGGTCCTTCCTGGTGGCACAGCGGGTTAAAGTGCAGCTCTAAGAAGCTAAAGCCACTTCTGCACTAGTTTGATCCCTGCCTGCCCCGGAGGTGACCACATGGCGTGGCAGACCTCTCCTGACCCGCCCGCTGCTCCCCTCAGCAGTGTACTTCATCAATCCGCCTGTTCTGCTCCCCACTCTGTCCCTGGTGAATCCTCTCACCCTCCGCATCTCTGGCCTGTACCCCAGTTCTGTTATGAATAAATAAATAAATCTTTTTAAAAAGTGGGGGCACAGTCACCAGTGGGTACCTCTGGCATCCAGGTTTAAGACAGTCTCTGTTGACAGGTCTCCAAGGTTGGGGTAATAAATTCTCCCCATCTATGGTGATACAGGATGCTTTTGTTTGCTTCAGTTATGCGTCTCGGGAAACTTCAGCAGCACAAACTAGAAAAAGAAAAGGCTTATATTGCTAGAGTATCTGGAGCTGCTGGGAAGGGCCAGGAGAAGGGGAGAGTCCCAGGAACGGCTGCCTGCCACCCCCCACCCCAGGGCTTTTGCATCTCGGGGAGGATGTTGGAAACGGTGGGTTCAGCTTGAAGGAGACCTGGGGTTAGGCGCATGGGGCAGAAATGCTGGTGCGGAAGCCAAGAGCGTGGGATTCTCAGCTCTGTGTCTTTGAGAGCCACAAAGGCGTCACCACGAGAGGCCTCCCGGACCGCTCGGTCTCGGCCTGTGCTTCACGGCGCTGGCCACGTGGGGAGCTCAGCCTGTGTTTCTGGCATTGTTCCTTCCTTGTCTGTCCCCCCACCAGTGGGAACTCCGTGAGGTCAGGGTCACGGGCTGGGCACAGCGTCTGTGAATAATGAAGGGGCAAGAGGCCCGTGTGGGGACCCTTGCTCAGGACGAGGCTAACTAGACGTAACCGTGGGTGTCACTGGCCTTGCTGGGGTGGCCATTTGGGAGGGGAAGGGAGCGCTGGCTCCCTGGGCCACCCTCATCTCAGCTGACAAGGAAGTGAGATAAGGGGCCGACAGAGGGGCTTGGCGGGAAGTTTCACAGGGGTGGCCGGGAGCAAGTCTCTCAAGAGGAGACATGTGCTGAGAACACCATCTCGGGAACCCCTCAAGGTGCAGTGGGCCAAACTGTGGGCCCCTCCCCTGGGCATTCACCTCTACGCTGCGGGGGCTAGTCCTGCTGTTCCAGGGCACCCCAATGTGAATTGGGGTGCCTGCCTGTGGGTCTTCACCCGTGGGCTTACGATTCAATCGTATTATGGACACACTCAAAAGGTTAAATAATGGATTTATTTATAAGGAGAAAGGTAAAGGAATAACCCAGGGAAAGAGGGAGAGAAACACAGGTTAACTAGGATGTCCTACCAGTTCCGCTGACTTGGACTCCACCGGCCGCTGAAAACCGACTGAGCGCCAAAACGATCAGCCGCGAACCACCAGGCCAAGAGACCCCAAGAGCCCACATGT